AGTCTGCATTCTCAAAGACATATATTTAGTGACATTACAAATTGCAGACTGAAGAGATGGAGATTCCAGGATGGTTTAAATGATTTCTTAGAGTACTTTGCAAGTTTGAGGCCTGAACGTAGCTTTTGAGACTAAACACTCAGAATGACAAACTTGTTCCTATTCCACTGAAGAGAAAAAAAAACACCTTAACTTGCTTTGTTTGTTTGCTTTACCTTCTGGAAGCTACATGGAGTGCTGACTAGTGGCCAGACAGATTGACAATTATCAACCAGAAACTAGCCTGCCCAAGCCAGAAATTATCCTACCAGCTACTGTCCAAAAGCAAGGTTTTCTTTTAAAAATCTGCAGAGTAATGAAAGATAAATGAAAGTGGCTGCTATTTAAATCTTGGGTTTCATTAGAGTGGTGTGATAGCCAGAACATTAAATGCTCTGCAAGGCTGGACCAAAAAGTAAAGGTTCATTGAATTTACATGCTGTAACTAACTGCCTGCTCGGTTCTCTCTCATTTTTCTTACAGCCTTTTAGAACAGTCAGAAAAATGCTTAAGCACAATATAAGGATATGAAACCAAATGTGCCAAGTCCAATAATGACTCGGTGTCAGCTGCTTGATGCATGTGGTTGCACAGTGTTGTAAGAGTAGTTTTAAGTCATCCCCATTCAACCTAAACTGTTCTTCTAGTTCTTGCTGGAGACTGCAATTTGAGCACTCCTCCTTAAATGAAAGCACTGTATCTAGGTGCAGATGGCAACAGTTACAGGCACTAACCAGATGCTGCAGTCTCTAATTTGATTGAAAGGGTATAATTAGACAGCAGAAACACTTCAATGAGAAGTAACGCACAGAGGAAAGGACAGAAACCACTTAACTGATGCCAAGATACCCCGGCAGTAACAGAGGCAGGGGCCCACGGGTGGAAGGGGCAGAACACCACACTACCTTCTTCAGATGAGAACATTTTTGTTTCCCTGGAGATGCAAATAGGGATTCTATTATCATAGGTTGCCACAGTTCTTCATGTGGGAACACTGATTAAAACCAGAAGAAGCTTCAGGAGATGAAAGACGCAAATATGGCTTCTGTGGTCATTATTAAAAATATTTTTAGCATTGCAATGGTTTTCTTTGAAGATGCAGTTTTATCGATTGAACCAAAAGTTCATTTGCATACTATCATATGATTGGTCAGGAGAAAAAAATATTCCATATTATGCTATGATGCAAAATAAACGCTTTTGGGAAGTATAAGGCAGGTTTAGACCTACCCAAGTGAAAAAATAGTGTAGTATTTTTACATTTCAATACTTTTCTACTCCAATTTATACTAATATAACACAAGGCCTCATTGAAACCATCAGACTTGTGTACCTATACTGTAACATTAAAAAAAACCCAAAACACAACAGTTGGTATAAGCTAAAGAAAAAACCTCAGTAAAGAATTGTCTTTGTTTAAAATTGTTATTTTCAAAATTGCTAGAAAACAATTTGGACAACTCCCCATTTGGTAAATCAGACAGTTAAATTCCAATGTGATGCTATGAGGGCACTTGGTTAGCTGATCATTTCTCCTTTACAATGTAGGGGCACTCCACATGTATTTTAAAAATCGTATCTTGCTCATTCTACATATTCACACACGCAGACATACAATTGTTGAAAGTCCTCAAATGCAATAAGTTTTGCTGGTCAGAATGAGAGACTTATTTAGTGTTGGTCCAAGACAGAGAGTAGCCACAGTGAATATTTAAATTATGCCACCTGACATTTGACCAAACCTTGACTTAAGTCTGTCTTGTAAGAATGTACATTCCTGGAAATGTACAGGCATGTGAAGCTCCATACTTGTGTTCCCCGGCAGCGTGTGAGCTGTTCTATACATGAATTTGCTATCCTTGTGAAACTTTGATTACTAATCTTCAATCTAATCACTTTTTTTTTTTTAAATAACATTAAACACTATCTGACTGGCCAGACCCTTTCTGGAATATGTTGGAAGCAGGCAAGTTCGGATATGCGCACGAGAGGCAGTCACCATTATTTCTAAATGCTTCAAAGTATGCGTTTTGTACATCTTTTCTTTCTATTTGCACAACACAAACATGCTATATTAGCTAGAGCTTTGCAGCTGCTGGCTGGTCCTCAGCCACAAGATGCAAACACACTTGCTTGTCTTGTAATTCTTTATCATTGGAAGTAAGAATGCATGATGTGGCCCCATAAGAATTTCTGTTCCTTAATACACCCGTTTGTTTTCTTTCTTTGTGAAGATTTAAAACTGTTGTTCCGTTGTTAAGTGTGGCAGATTGAATCCCCTTGGTAATTTTATCAGGATGGGCCACAGCCACTGTGTGGATGGAGAGAGTGGTCAGTTGTACAACCTTTACGGTGTGATATGACAAAGAATGAAAATTTTGCAGCTGGTAGCATGTAATCCCTGCCTCCCTCCCACTTCTTTGGCTCCATCCTGCTTAAATCCATTCACATAGCTCTGGATTTTGAGTTATGCTCTATGCATGTACAAGCATGATATGCTCAAGTGTCTGACTATTTCATCTTCTATCTGCCTGGTTAGAAACAAGAAGAAACAAAAGAATTGCTTTTTTGAGTATTTCCATGACACTTGCTCATGGCATATCAACTAGAACTGCTTCTCTGGATCAGCAAGACATAGGCAGAATAAGGTGACAAGAGACAAGGTTTGTTAGAGAAGGCTGAAATAACAGCTCAAAGGAAAGACTCAGCTGGGAAGAAAACCAAAGACATGGTAACCCAGTATTGCTAAATGGAAAGAAAACAGAGAAAAGAAAAAGAGATTGATAATACATTTCTGATAGGAAAATTAAATGCATGCTATAAATACAGAAACTAGAAATTATAACTTATTGCACTGACGATAAAACATTTGTTCACCAAAACTAACAACTGCCAAAGCCATTTCCATCTCTTTGTCCTTGTAATACAAAACTCACCAAATTCAGTCCTTTAATGTTAGACAATCTATTCACTCACCTCTCATTTCTGATTCACTCAAAAGATGTGGTATGGCTGAAGTTTGAATGAACAAATGTCAGTGTCTGAATGCAGAAATGTCAGGTGTTTGAATTAAGAGAAACTTAGACATCACACAGCAAAGCAAAAACAGTCTGTGAAAAGTAGCGCAGTACTATGTGCAAAACCAATTGTTAACCCACTCTAATTTCTGACAGTTGGAGTCATTTTACATAAAGCAATTCCAAAAGTTTCTTTCCTCTTAGCAAATGATGGTGGCACAGTCAGTATTTCGACTGCACTTTACAATAAACTTATTAAGACATGCATTTTAAAAAAAAAGAATAGGTATTAAAAACACACCATATGACAAACTGCCTTACAAAAGCAATAGTAATTTCAGAATTCTGCTAGCTTCAAGTGCAACCTGACACAGCTGATCCCATTTCAGTTCTGTGGGATTAAGGGTCAAGAAGAAGATCCTGATGTCGTTTGCACAGATTAAGAACTCTGCAGATTTTGTACATGCCATACAAATTACAGGTTGTTGCTGAAATGCAGATTTGCATTGTTTTCAGGTTCTTTAGCAGAAAACACATAGATGGCAGTGCTTTCTAGATCCATTCTCCCTTGCTACACCTTCATTCAGAGGCATTATATATTCTTCCCTCCTCCCCTGCCCCAGCTGCTTGTGCTCAGGCATCTGTCCCCCTTTGTGACCAAACATTCACACTGGGATATGTCCTCCACTTGCTGTCATGCAGCCTGCTGTGAGGGACATGGTCACACATGGAGTGTTCTGTCCACAGTTCTGCACAGAAACCTTACAAGCAAACATTCTTCAACTTAAGCAATGGAAGGGAGTATGTACTGTGTGCATCAAACATATCCTAATGGTACTGGGAACAGACTGTTTGACATGGTCTAGATATGTCCCAGTCTAGGCAGCTCTATAAATGGTTATCTAAAAGTACTTTCATGTTTTACTCACTTCAGGTAACTTCTGAGTTTACCAGAAGGTAAAGGTAAACTCAGAAGAGTTCTCTTCCTGGTAGAAGGCTTTTTATTCCCCCAAAAAGTCTATGTAAGTATTTTCCAAATCTGATAAAGTGCATCTACAAAAACTTGATAAGCAAGTATGTGTCCATGGCAAGAAGAACTGGAGCAAGTTCTACATAATAAGAAGGATCAGCAATTAGAATACACAAAATGTATCCAGAGTGGACACGCATCTGATGGCTGTGACACCGTGATCATCTGCCACTTCAGATCTTGCAAAGAATGGCCACTGTTTACCAGAGGAGAACCGTGGTACTTGAAGTCACTAAAACAAATGAAATGAGGACAAAAGCGTGTAGAGAAATTTTAAGTGAAAAATCACACTAAGGGGTAGTGAAGTTTCAGGCTTCCCAGACTCCCTGGCTGAACGAGAACCTAAATGGTCAGAGAAGTCCACGCTTGCCGGGGAGCTGGGGCAGCACACCGCAGGCAGGCGAGACGGCCACCCTCCAAGCTCTGGCTCTGCAGCCCCGATTATGCCCTGCTGCCACCGGTTTTTTCATTTCCCACTGACACACACTGAGTCACACTCTCCTCTCCCTGCAAATGCCTCCATTCCACAGATCTACCTATCAGACCACTTTCATAGAGAGATGTGCTGCTCCTCTTTCTCTCACCTCATGCTTCCATACAGTTTCCGAGCTCCCAGCTCAGCAAGCACAGAGAGCGCCTCAAACACCCAAAAACTCCACACAAAAACACTCCCTGCGTGTTTGCACGAGCCGCCTCGAGCCCGGGACCACCGGGCGGGCAGGAAAGGACGTCGTCGCGACCTCGAAGAGGCGCTGCCGGGCGGCAGAGCCCTTCCGCGGGAGGCTGCGCGCCAGCCGCGAGCGTGCGGAGCTCGGGGCGAGGCTGCCCCGCTCCCCCTCCGCCCGGCCCTGCGAGGCGACCGGGGGCAGCCCCCAGCGCGCCCCCCTCCCGGCTCCCCGCGAAGCGTCACTCACCGGACTGCACGGGCTCGCGGCAGCAGCTCAGCGCCAGCCCCGAGAAGGCCAGGACGGCGGCGAGGGCGGGAGGCTCCATGGGCAGCGGCCGCCGGGCCGCACGGCGCCCGCAGGACGCAGCCCCAGCGCTCCGGGGGTGGCAGGCGGCCGGGAAGAGCGCAAAGTGCGGGAAGCGGAGGCCCTACAGCATGTGTCCTGTAAGTGCGCCCCGGCGAGGTGCCGAGTGGCAGATGAGGGATCCTATTACCAGCCATGTGACAGGAAAGGATAGAGACCGACATCCCAACCTGCTGCAGCGCGGGACCGCAGAACTGCCGCTTCCACTCCCGACACCGACAGGTCCGGGCTGTCGGCGTTCGCCCCGGGGCAGCCAAGGGGCTCCGCGGGGTTCCCCCCGCAGGCCGGGCTGCCCCGCCGTTAGCGAGGCAGGGCCCCGGCGACCCCCCGCCACACACGCACAGTCCTCCAGCCCAGCAGCGACCCACGCCTCGCTCTCGTCACTCCCCTCTGCCCTCTCGCACCCCGTGTCCCGCTGCGGCCGCCGAGGAGCCCGGGCAGCCGCGGCCTAGCGTCCTCAGCCGCCGCCCCGGCCCCGCGCCCGCCCTCAGGCCGGCGGGGGTCCCTCAGGGGCTGCCGGAGCAGAGCGCTCCGCCGCTGCCCCGCTCTCATCTCCGGGAGCCGCGGGGCACGGACGGACACGACACAGGAAGAGGACGCTGCAAACTTCGTGCTATTCCCTCGCGGCTCCCGCTCACGGCAGCCTTTCTGAGGGACACGGGCGGCTCCGCTCAGGTGTCCGCGCCCGCTGCTGTCCGGGGCGTCGCTCTAAACCTGAACCGGCACCTCCGGCCCGACAGAGATGACCGGGCGGCGGAGCCGTGCCCGCAGCGCGCTGGGCGGACGCGGCCCGGCTGCAAACCCCCCTCGGCTCCGGGGGGGCAGAGCTGCCGCCCGGGCGGGCACGGGGAGAGGCTGATCACCGCCTGGCACACGGCAGAGACTCGAGACATCTGCGGGCCGACGGGGGCACAAGGACACACACGTGCGCACACATCCAAACCTTCGGACACGCGAACCCCGAGGAGACACCCACGCCTACAGTGGAACATCCAGAGCGACAAACACGAACACAGAAGCTAAGAGACCCCTGAACCGAAAGAAGAGGAGCAGCGTTGCTTTGTGACAACAGTGAAGGCACATGCAGAAAGATAGGGTTTGGGTTATCAGAGTTTTGTCTCATCTACGTGCAGACAACAAAGGACAAAATGTCAAGGTGGTGATGTCAAGCTATTGTCTAAACATATCCAAAGTCTTATTACCTGAGCTGGGAGACATTTTAGCAATGGCAGTACAGCTTTGCTGAAAAGCAACCAACAGAAAAGAAACCACACTAACAGCAAAGTTGCTTTGTCAGGAAGGAGGGCAAACGTTGTTATCCTTGTAGCACCTGTACATCATTGCTGTGTAATGAAGTGGCACCTTCAATTAACCATAAAGGGAGAGAGCAATTTTCTACTCTGAGAGGGGAAGCAATAAAATACAGTTTGTAGGCCTTAACTGTTGTATCAATACACAGTATGCATATATTTCACTTTTAGCATGCAGAAACCTCCCATCACATAAAGCTGTAGGGTTGATTTTGAGAAGAAAAACATTCCTTTTTTTTTTTTTTGAGAAGAAAAACATTGAGAAGAAAAAAGATTCCATATGATAGCATGGCTTTACACAAAAATTTAAATATAAATATTACTTAAAATTTTAATATTTAATAATTTTGAGCTGAATTCCTATTGAATGTAATTTTTTTAAGCTGATGAAATATTGAAAAACCATAGCAGTGTTCTGTTAGCTTGGTGCTATGTTTTTTTTTTCCTTTTTAATGATAAATGCAGAAATATTTAGTTCCTCCTCACACATACAGTCTTCTCTCCAAGGACTGGGATCCCATTGTGCTCCCATTCACTCAATTTCGATTCCATTTTATTTGGCATTCTGTTCCTTAAGGACACTGGAACAGAGAAGGCTTACAAATTTATAACAGTGTATTGCTAACAAAGCTTTCAGAAACATTGTCTTTTGCTCAGCCTGCCATAATGTAATGTCAGGAATTTGATTAGCATTTCCCATACAATTCAATACTCATTATATTGATAGCAGAAATCAAATTATATAATACAAAATGATACCATTGTTTGTGTTTGGAAAGTCGATATTTGTTGCTGTGGATGATTTAAGCCTCTGCTACGCTTTTTCTGTATTTCATTAAAAACTCCGCTGGAATTTCATTGTCTCTTATTCTACTGGAACTTCTGAAACAAGTTTCTGGTTTCCTTTGTGTCTTGGAAGAAAAAACAAAGTTAAAAAAACCCAAACAAACCAAAGGCTTAAGATGAGTAAAAGTAGTTACCATAGAACAAGGTTACCTTAGAACAAAGTGAGAAGAATATTGGGGTTTCTTGAATAGTAATATTGCGACAACTTTAAAAGTACCAGTTCTGTGTAATTCCAGTGCATACCACCCTGAAGAACAGTATCCCTCCCCTGTTGTACAGTACTGAAGATTCAAAATATTTAAATTACCATAGAATCATAGATTGGACTGGAAGGGACCTTAAAGATCATGTAGTTCCAACCCCTTGCCATGGGCAGGGACACCTTCCACTAGAACAAGTTGCTCCAAGTCCCATCCAACCTGGCCTTGAACACTTCCAGGGATGGGGCAGCCACAGCTTCTCTGGGTAACCTGTGCCAGGGCCTCATCACCCTCACAAGGAAGGATTTCTTCTTAATATCCAATCTAAATCTACCCTCTTTCAGTTTGAAGGCATTATCCTGGCAAGGACAGTGAAGTGTTTGTCAAAAAAGATAGCAGAAAAATACCATGTTTGATTTCTTTGTTGATGAGAAAAAGTAATGAAGAGGTCATAACAGTTGCTATTTCTTTAGGAGGTTAATTTGTGTTTTCAGTTTAATTGAGGCTTACCTCTCCTTTCTACATAAAAAAGTCAGACGTGCCAGGACTGCAACACCGACTATTCCAAATACACAGCCAAGAAGAATTAGTTGTTCAATAGCTGAAAAACAGACCAATGACAAAAAACAACCAGAAAGACTTTGACGCATTTATTCATATCTGTTTGAATGCAGTCACAAGATGATTTTTGAAATTGTACATACAGTGTTAATTCTTCTGTTCTTTTTATTTGTGGAGTAAACTGCCTGCCTTGGCATGGGGGTTGGACTAGATGGTCTCCAGAGGTCCCTTCCGACCCTAACTATTCTGTGATTCTCTGAAACTGGTACAGATCAGGAACTCACAGAACTTCTGCATTTGACTGTTGGGACAGGTGGCTGTAAAAGCTGTTGTAACTCAAAGAAAGGGTGGCTAGTGGTTAATATGTAATCATCATTGTGAATGTACAATATTTATGCAGGACTGCCAATCCCTGAAACTGGATTTTTTTCAATCCTTTGTCCATATATTGCTAAGATTTTGATTTTTAGCTGGATGTTACTTGTGATTTTACTAGAATCTCCTTTTTGGTTGTGCTTGGATGGCTTCTTTGTTCTTCCTCCATGATACTGTGTGAAGAGAGGTTGCTGTGGTACTGGCAAGACTTGCAGTGGGATTGTAATTAGAAGCATAGCAAAATAATTATTAGCAGAGGACTTCCATGGAAATTTTAATTCAAGAAAGCAAAACTCAAAAGCAGCAATATGCAGGCCCAACAGCATAATTTGTATTTGAAGTTTCAAATACTAAAATGGATTTTGAAAAATAACTGGCATTAAATTTTCTTGTTTCTGTCTCTCTTCCTATCCAGTTTTCATAATATCAAATAGTAAGGAAGGTCTTTGTTGCAATCAGATCAATAAAATTCTTTCATACCTTGTTGTTCTTTGTCATCTTTCAGGAAACCATTGCACAGCATTGTGGGGTTTGTTTGCTTATCCATAAAGGTGCATCACGTCTCCATCATTCTGAATGCAATTAATCACTGCATGTTTCCCAACTCCTTCCCTCTGATCATTCAGGGCTGGCTTTCTGCCCCATTTTTCTAATGTAAATGTCAGCATCCGTTTTGCTTATTGAGACTGATTGGCTCTTAGCCAGTATGTATGTGGTTGATGGCAGCAGTGGAAAAATGTTCTTAGCTTTCAGCTTGGCAGAGTGTTCTGCCACTGGCTTTTTAAGATCTGGCCTTTGCACATTTGTCTGCTGCCCAAACTCACTGTGGTTCATCTTACAAATATCACTAAACGTGCAGAGCTGCATTCAAAACGTACAAGCAATTGGTACAGGCCAGCAGAGGCTGATGAAATGTGTCAGCATGACAGGAATTCATTGCTGAAGTGAGGTGCACATTGCACATTTCTTTGGAAGGTGCTCAGAGTGGAGAATCTGTTGGTATGAACTATTTGATGGAGAATCTCTTGGTATGAATTATTTGATGAGTGCTTTTGGGAACTATTAACATAGCATTAAAAGTGCTTCAAACATGCCATCTGGCCTTGCATCACCTTGGTGCTTTGAAATATTGCCATCTTGAGGACGTTTGGAGTGCATGTGGTGAATGATTAAAAGGAAAATTTTGGGTTGTTTTCTGTAAATCATAGAGACAGCCTAACTGCTACTAAATCCAAAAGTCCAGGCTAATTGTTAATCTAATGGGACTAACATAAGAAAGATAATAAAATTTTGTTAGTTATCCTAAATACTATCACATCATTCATCACATTACATCATTACAATAGTTTTGCTGCCATAGAATGATGCATTATGTTTTGAGATAACATAACCCTTTAGAAAAAAAGGGTGAAAGCATTTAACAAGTGTGGGCTCTGTCTGCTCTCAGAATCATGGAATCATGGAACAGCTGACGTGGGAAGGGACCTCTGGTGGTCATGATGTCCAACTCCCCTGTTCAAACAGGACCACCCAGGGCCAGTTGCCCCCAGGTCCTTTTCTGTAAAGTTTCTCTTCAAGTGCTCATTTTATAATGTGTGGCTTCATAACTCACCCCTCAGGTGGCTCAGACTGGATATACGTTTGCCCCAGTTAGTTGCAAAGGAAGTTAAAACTGTATTAGTGATGACAGAATGAAAGATGACACTAAGTGGTTGGGGGCTGTGCCATCATTTATACTTGAAAAGTAGCTCAAATTATGTGGATACTAAAGGTTTCCAGTAATCCATAGTTTCTCTTTTTAGCTAAGTACTATGCTTTCCTGTTTTTCTAAGAGTGATTTTGAAATTTATGTTAGGTCATTCACTCAAGAAGCATGCCTGCCAGTTCCTAGCCAACCCTACAGAAAGGGAAGCTTGTAGCCCTAAACCCTTAGAAAGAGTAGATAGATTAAATAATTTTTAAAAATATTAAAAAATTTTAAAGCCCCAACAAAACCCATAAACCCACCATAAATTACCTGTTATTTAGATTTGAATATTACTCTCTCTGGAAATCCAGAGATCTTATGTCCAACATTTTCCCAAGTAAAAGAAGTTTTTGTTGTCAAGAGCCATCATGGTGCACTGAGATTGCCTTATGTGTGATAATGATTTTATGACAACATGTAACATTTAAAAGGCAACAGACCTATTTTCTGGATGCAACTGGGTGTGTCTCCAGACCAGGCCCCTGACGCTTGGCAAGTTCTTTCCTTTGACCCGGTGAGTTCATAGCCCTGACTGCAGAGGAAAATGATGGTTGAGCCCAGCAGGTAGTTAGTTCCATTCTTTGTTCCATTGATTGGATGGTCCAGCCAGCCACAAGAGATCACTAGTAAAAGAGACATATCTGGTGAAAGTATTTTTGATTTGGACTAGCAAATCTCCATTACAACGATTCAAATGGCATTTTAGTGGCTACTCATGGAAAGACAAAGACTTTTAGGCAATCTGAATGAAAATACTTCTGATACTTTTTAAATTATTATTATTTTTAAGTCCGAGGACTACAGGTGAATGCATAGAAAATGAAGATAAAGTTTCTACACTGCGGTGTAGGAAGAAATGGAAAGAAATATATTTTGTGTTTGCCTAAGTATTCCTCCAGTGCAGAGTTTTCCTGGTACAAGGACAATTCCTCCTGATAAGAGTATTTACAGGTGCATGAACCTACAGTTAAGCAAAGCCTCCTCAAACATTGTGAACTATTTAGATGCCCTGTAGAAATAACTGTAGTGATGCCCTGTATGGGCCATTCACTTAAGAGTTGGACTCCATGATCCTTGTGAGTCCCTTCCAACTCAGAGTCTGTGATTCTATAATGATGCTTTGAGGAATGTTGTATCACCTGGCTCCAGATGTTCTACCAGCAGCTTGTGATTCTGATGAGATAGTCTTGTGGAATTTCCCACTTGAAGGCTTCTTGTTGTCAGGACATCGAATCTGCAGAACGGGTCAGAGCCACAGAGTGAGACCATCTCTTCTACCAGGGAATCAGCAGGGTCTTCATAAGGGAAGAACACGGGCAGGAAGGAAGCACTGTGCTTCTCCCCATAAAAGAAATTGTTCAGTAGGAACTCTGTGTCATAAGTAAAGAGAGAAGTTCCATTCTCAATAGCCCCTTGGGAGACAGAGAAAGAGAGAGAGAGAGATTCATATGTAACATTGCCTGCACATACCACCTTCTGCTACCAAGTGCTTATTTATGTAAATGTAGCTAGAGCAGGAAGAGATCTAGGAAGGCCTACAGCATCCTTGCAGTTTAAGATTATTCTCCTTTTCATATGCAACATCTTAACTTAGCACCAAAGTTAGTGTTTGTCTAATATGATTTTTGATCATTTTCTTAAAATTAGATCCAAATAATTGTGTAGCTGTGATTTTACATAAAGATGGTTTTATATGCCTCCTAGCAAAATGGTGATAATAGACAGAGTAACAAATCACAAAAACAAAAACTACAAGCAACACAAATCCTGAGACTATGTGTCCCTAAATTTATCATGTCTGTTATGGCCCTGCTAAATCAGAAACTTCCTGAGGTTGAAGCAGTGAGACTTTTCAGTATGCTTTGAATCCTGGGTTGCACTGTGCTCAACACAGAGACCAACTGGTAGCCAGAGGGTATTTTTGCATCACATTTTTGGCCAATCTCCTAACCTGATGCCAGGAGGAATGCTGATCAATCTAATCCTGAGGCTAGATATAGCAGCCTAATACTCATTAAATGACAGGAGCCATTTTTTTACACACATCCTCCTGCACCTTTTTTTTAAATAGACAATTATTAAATTGGGATTTAATTAATTATTTTTTAGATTGTCAGCATGGTACATGATGGAAACATTGCTAATAATCTGGAAAAGATAGCTGACCCTGGCTATTGCTGCACTTCTGTAACACTGTAGTCTGCTGGTGCTGTGTTCAGCTAACCATAATAGATGATATTCTAAAAGTGTAAGCTGTGAAACATGAGGTCTGACTCTTGATGGAACTAAGTGCTGAACACTCTGTTGTGGTTCTGTCTTCAATCATTCAGCAGTAGGTATTTACCCACTTGGGTAGAGGAGAGTATATTTCTTTTACTCTCTCCTCTTCCCCCAGTATTGATTGCTTGGCACAGACTTCATTTCCTAGCCTTTCAATCACAAGCTGTTTTGAATTTGTAAAGAAAATGTAATAATAGACCAGAGAAATTACTTACAGTTAGCTCCAAACTCAAACAACTGCTGGGGACTTGCATGAACTGGTAGGGTGGTTTTATTCCTGAAGGTGTATTCATCCTCTGTATTGCCATTCATTACCCCAAAGAGACCCTGTGTGTGATTCATGAACTTCTCTGGGAGCAGAACTGTCAGGGTCAGAAATCCTCCATTTCCCCGTATTTCCACTCCACACCCAGAAGAGAACATCACTGTGATGTTCTGATCAGGTGTAGAATGGAGAAAGAGACCTATAACAATGAGAGGAAGAGGACAAAATACCTAATTTTCCATAGTGAACAAACTGTTGTGTTTTAGCATCACTTAAAATCATCATCAGTTATAACCATTTCTCACAAAGCTTTTCCTCCCTTCCACTTTGGGCTACACTCTGAGAAGCATTTAAAGGAAAGCCACACCTTCATACTACAATTATAGTAAGATGGCTACTACAGAGCAGTAGCAAAGAAAGGTCCACTGCTGATATAAGATGCACTGCCTTCTGCCAGTGTCCCAGACCAGAAGCTCTAAGATATGAAATGACTGCATCAGAGAGTGGCTGTGAGCTGGTAGCACCACTCTCAGTAGTCACAGCTTTCCTCTCCTTCTTCCTTGCTGGCAATCAGATGGCTCTGCCTCTTCCTGAACACAGCTTAGGTGCTGCCAGTTAGCTGGTGATGAGCAATGCAGGTTCTCATGTGCTCACCTGAACCACGACTCTCTGCTACACTTCTCCATGGGAACACAGACAGCCACAGCGTGTTTCCCTGTAGCATCCCTGATCCATGGCTATTTGGAAGGAGATGTATAGCCCATAATTCTGGTGGCTACATTCCTGCTATATTCCTGCTGATATCGTGGCTGTCAACAGTCTCAAAGGCCAGATGAATCCGGGCACTGGTTTAGCATAAACAAAAGGCCAGGTGGGCAAACTGGATGGAAAGGGCATTCTGCCCCTGCTCTCAGTTTTATTTCTTTCACAAAGGTGCATGTCAACAGTACACTACCACTGATTCAGCCTCAATCTGGCAGCAACTGAAGAAAGTCATGTAATAATAAAATAAATTCTAATGAGTTAGGACACTGCCTGTTCTCTGTTTACTTCATACATATTTTTTTCTGTGACCTGCAGGCTGTTTTCACAAAAGGATGCTAAAAAGAGAGTTGAAATGCATGCATCTAGAGATATTTTTAACTGTACATGGGCTCCACTGGAATACAATAGCTTACAAGGCTGATATTTGTAACTAACCTTTCAGGTCCATCCAGGTCTGTTCAGAGAAGTTGAGAACCTTTTGGTTTAACAGGACCTCCAGATTCAAATCCTCTGAGTACCGTACTTCAATCACATCAGAGTTGTTCTCCTGCATGGCCACTGCAGACAAGCCTGTCCCCTGAGCTCCAGTTCCTTCCAAATAAAAAACCAATCCCCTAAAATACTCAACACGATATAAAGTAAATATAGAAGGTTATAGCAATACAGGAAAAAAAACCTCAAACAGATATTTCCTAAAAATAATGAAATACAATTATTTATATTTGAGGGAACGGCTAAGCATATAAGTCATATAAAACCCCACAGTATACATCTCCTTCCAATACATTGAAAGCAGAATGTTTAATGCTAAAAAAGACTGGAAACTCTAAATTCTTCATCCTAATGGCAGTGGCTATACTATATAAGAAGGCTGGCTGATCTGCTTGTACATTCAGTCCTGTGAGTAAGGTCTGGGAAAACTGAAGATGATTTCAGGGAGGGCATGACAAAAAAAGGAAACAGAATAAACAAAAATTTAAGAAACTGATCTTCAGAAGAAACTGCTCAGTGACTCATGCTACTTTTGCCATAAACACAGTAAAACCTATCAAGGGCAAAACATTTCCTTGAAAATCTCTGTCCTATCCAATGTGATATTCAGTATAAGCTGTATATCTACATGGGTGCTGAAATGCACAGACAATTTTTAGTTCATCCATATAATTGTACCAGAAGTACCAAATCCTTGAAGAGCATCCTTAAGGCCAGGTGGGATATTCTTTACTGAGCCAAGTCTGTTATTTTATGCACCACAAAATAGCACTAGATACAGGAAAAGCATAAACAAAAGTATCTTTTCAGCCTTATGAGAAGCATGATCCCATTATGCTCTTTCACACTCTACTTTTCCCTCACTTTAAAATGCAGCTGTATGACAGTCTCCTTCTTACAGGCTGGTTTGCAATTCACCCTTTTGAATTGTGAAGGCCACAGGTACCTCCAGAAAGCTTCTTCTGCCCTAGGTTGTTGTCTGCCTTCTGATTATCTTCAAAAAGGTGACCTTTCACAAATGGCCAAAAAAGAGACGACAGGAGGAATGCTGTAAAGTGCAAATCAAGCAACCTCAGAAGCTTTCATTTGTCATCACTGCTTTCTCTTGCCGACTTACCATTGGGGAGGTGACCCTGCTGTGTCCTCCCTTGCACTCTTAGGGATGTGAGATCAGACTCTACCAAAAGGTATTCTCCTAGGCCATTGAAGGTGAAGTTCAGACCATCAAATGTGAAGAAATGAGGATCCCCAAAAGCAGATGCTATTTTTGAAAGCAAAATGAGAAATAAGAACAAGCAAAAATCACAACCCATTACTCCTATTAAGTTCATGAGAAATAAAAATAAATCTCATTGTGGTGATCCGAAGAATGGCATTTAAACAAAGGATAAAATGCAAGGCTGATCTGATCCATGGTAAATGGGATATGAGGAACAGCCATGAGAACCCTGAACAATGAGATATGTAATTCCAGTTACTTTCATATTCTTTGGCCAACATTCAGAGCTGCATTTTAAAAGGCTGCTTTTTCCAAAACCTTTGATGGGGTTTCTCTAAGCAGGCAAAACACTCATTTGTGACCCCCAGCTACCTACTGCAGTGCCCTCTGCAGTTTTCTCCTTTCTTCCTGCTGCAAACTGCTGCCTCTTTGCACTTTCCTTATTTATGGGAGGCCATGTCCTGCTGGACACCTCAGCATCCGAGCAGCATAGAAGGCAAGACATGTGGCAGCAGTAGAGATATGGCAAGACTTGAGGACTTACTTCAAAGCAAGGGGCAGGAGCAACAGCCACACTGTAAATGGTAAAACTTCCTTATTTCATATGAATAACATGACAGCTTTTCTAGCTACTGCCTACCTGTCTTAAACCATCTCTAACCATCTTCTTTCTGAAAAAGTGTTCAGTGATGGCAGAAAGTCTTGGGCATTGACTACTAAGCTTTGGCTATTTATGTTCCAGGGGTTAATGAGATACTCAACGGCAGAAAATCTTGCAGGACAACTAAAAAACACATACAGATTTTGTTACTGATAGATCAGTGGAAACATTCCATGGAGTTTTTCCACAGAACATTGTACCTTCTCCATTGTCAACTAATATATGTACATATACAAGTATTCTAAAAGCCAACACTGTATCAAAAGGCGATACTCCATAAGGGAATTATGAAGCCCTTACCAGCTCGAGGTGGGCGATACGTCCTGCAGTCACTAGAGGGACGCCTTTTCATATAGAACTGACAATTACCAGACCACAGGCAGCAGTAATAGAAGCTGATAACATCATAAAGCCAATGGGAAAAGCCAGGTATCCGGGGAGGCTTCAGGAAAGGTGGTGAACCCCAGTCATGGCCTCGATCGGGTGTGCTGCCTCCCGTGGAGTCATGTGTGAGGATCTGTGTTCCCGTGGAGTCATAGCAACACTGCTGTCCTGCTGCGTACTGGGGACTGATGGAGAGAAGCAGCAAGAAAGTCATCATTCAGCTCTGTGAGGTTCCTTTGTGTGTAGGGGTTGCCTATTGCCTTTTTATGGGTATAGCTAAACGTTTCGGTTGGCAAGCTTTGTATGATGCCCAGTTAGACTTCACCCTGCCCCTCTTGGTTCTTATAAATTAGACCAGAGTAGGGACAGGGAGGGAAGGGTTTTTAACCAAGGCAGGAAGGAAGGATTTGGTTAAAAGGCCTTCTGTAGGCCTTGTAGCTACACGAACATACCACTCTTTGAAGTTGTTCTTACAGAAATAGTGCAAAGATTAACTTGTTGAACTTAATTAGACCAACACAGAAAAGGCTTAATTAGGCCTACTCAGATCTATTCTAACCATTAGCTCCTGTTTAGGTATCCTAAGGTTTCACGTGCTGCAATTTCTTGTTTATTAAATCTAAGGCCTTAACTTCATCTCAGCAATGAGGGTCAGTCTATGAGTAAGAGGGAAACAGTGGTTGCTATGAACCTGAGTTAAGATGCCAGAGACCTCTGTGCCTTCTGTGATGCTGCTGTCTCTGAGATGGAATAAAAAAAATGCAGTTCAAAAAATTTTCTCTACCTGGCTTGAATGGCTCTCACACAGTGCACAGCACCAGGGTGATAAGTACACACACTCCCCTTCTCAATGTTGCAGCCATAATCTGTCTGAAAAAGATCAATGTTCACACTTAATGGGGTTCTTTCCCCGTTGTCCTTTCCATTTATGTATCCTCCCCTCACCCTTTGTATCTGATATATGTGTAAAATCTACATGAACTGTTTGAGGCTGTGTGTTGAATAGCATGGAATGACAGGAAAAACAGTGAATTTAATACTGCAGTATCTGGGCCAACAGGCCTAACCTTAGCATTTTGCAGTCTATTACAACAGACGTTGAAGAACAAGAGCAGCTAGATGGGATTCAACTATAAGCATATAACAAACACAGATCACAACAGACTAAAAGTTTGTCCTATGTTCTTAGACAGAGGCAGTGCAGTGGATCTATTTTTTTTCCTTCACATGCTTTTAACTGTGTCATTTGGAATACACATGAAATTTGGAGGTTCATAACCAGAATAAGATGGTAGCAAAATCTACCTAATTTTTTTTTTAATATGTATAAACACGCTGCCACCATTTGTTATCACAAATAGGAGACAAAGTTCCCCTCATCTGGTCCTCAGATCAGCACTGCAACTGAAAGTGTAGATTAAATGGCAATTGATTTCTTAGGTTTTGTCAGTTCCTTGTTACACAGTGGAGCTGAGAAAGAGGAAGGAAGCAGGAGAAAGGAAATAATGGATTATGGCTCTGGACTTGAGCTCTGAAGCACAAGGCATAAGGGCTTGTAGTGAAGTCTGACATACTAGGAAGAAATGTGGCCTGCTTCTTCCATCCCAGGATATCACCTACAAACACAGACTGCCATCCTGTAGGATCTTGAAGAAGACAACCCTGCTCTCAGCTCCACAGAACTCACTGTCCTCCATGGTGTTTTCTGTCTACCACTGGAATTACTGTCTGAATTCCCTGTTTGAAGGCAATTTCCATCTGCTGTCCTTCTTTTACTCATACTACCTGAATAAGCTGTATTTGCCTCTGCTATTTGACATGCTACTGGTGCAAGTTTAAACATAATTTAATTGCCTTGTAATGACGTTTAGAGAGGGAACAGGGAGGTGTGTGGAGTATGGCATTCCCTAAGCTTCTACTTGGAACTATCATAAGCCAAAGGGATCAATCAATAACTTACATGGAACCTGCCAGTGTCAGCTCTTGCCTGTGCCAAAGTGCAAGGGCAGTCTATAATTTCTTCCTTGAAGTTTGGAAGCTTCTCTTCCTTTCTGTCCCATTCCATACATTTTGCAGTTGCCCATGCATTTGGGTCATCCCTGAAGTCTTTCCCAAGGTGCCAAGCCAATGCATGCTCATTGCTCCAGAGTGATGGAATGTTGCTGGGAAAAAAAAAAAAGAGCCAAAAAATAGATCTGAGAGCTGAACAAGCACTGTTCTGACAGTAACACTGTCAAATCACTAACTATAATTACGAAGTATCTTTTAACTTGCAAGGTGTTATTTCATTACAAAGCCCATTGTTTTCTTTTTCCTGCAAAATGTTACAGCCAATCAAAATTTTCCAAATTCAGAAAGTGAGAGGGTAGCATGCAGCAAGTACACAATAATCAGAATACATTTCAATATTCATTATTCTGGCTTACCCGAATCCTTTTAGAGACAGGTTTTCTACTCATGCCTTTTGACATTGTAGTTCTATTTAGGATAGAATGAAGAACATCTGGATTCTCTAACAAAACATAACCCTGTGCCCCAATAGTATCAGGGCTAATGGCAACAGACAGGGAAAAACCATTCAGAATCCATGAAATGTTCCAAAACTACTCTGCTTTCTACCCATGAAAAAATATCATATACAAAGCATAATAAAAATCCCTCAAGAAGGAGAAAAGGTTACCCTTCTCTGGGTAGTGACTCCTAAATGCTAAAGAAGGTTCTGACATATTAGCAACATGTTCGAACTCTGAAGTTTATACATTAACAGTTTATACATTTATACATTCACAGAATCTACACCATCTACATCAAAAACTGCAGACGTGGAAGAATTATGAGGGATAGGCAAGGTCAGAATATGTATGGAGCACTTACAGAGGTAATTCACCAAAAATCATGGGAAAATATACAATGAAATAAAAGGAAGTGGTCATAAAATCTGTAGGAATGCAAAGGCTGCATACAAAATAGAAAAAAAATTAAATGCAGAGGAAGGCCTGTGGCTGCAGTGACAGAAGTTCCACAGTTAGAGACTCCTCTACAGGTGTGACAAAAAAAATCGGCAGATCTGAGTCTGCTGAGGGTACTGGGTTTGGCTGGGGTGGAGTAATTTTCTGCAGGCAGCCCATAGAGTGCTGTGGTTCAGATTTGTGACCAAACAACTGTGATAACACACAGTGTTCTGGTTACTGCCAAACGGTGCTTGCATGGTGTCAAGGTCCTCTGTGTTTCTCATGCTGTCCCCCAGGAAATAGGCTAGGGCTTGTCAAGAAGCTAGGAGGGAACACAGCCACAACAGCCAATCCAAACTGAACAAAGGTATATTCCATACACCATTCCATATCATGTCCATCAATAAAACTACAGCAGAGTTTTCCCAAAGCAGCCCCTTTGGGGTGACTGAGTGTGCATCGCTCTGCTTGTGGCAGGTGGTTACTGATTGCCTTTGCCTCACTCCCTCTCTGCCCATGCCCCTCTTAATAAACATGGGAAAAACCCACGAGCTTTTCCCACTTTTGCCCTTCCAATTCTCTCCCCATTTTTTCATGCGAAATGGAGCCTGAGTCCCAGTTTTAAATGCCGAAGGATATATCAACTTTACTTCAGGAAGCAATAATAAGGTACCTATGATTAATGAATGCTGTGATGCACTTGCCTCTGCCCATCAGAATAGCTGCTGGGTGTAATCCTCAAAATTCCGAAGTCCCACGTACTGTAATTTCCTTCAGCAGGTATAGGAGTGAAAGTAAATTTCCCTGTATTGGGGATTTCTCTGGCCAAAGTATAAAGATATTTCCATTCAGCCAACCAGTTTTCTGAGTAACTGTCACCTGTCACACAGAGGAAGAAAATGGTTTTGGACACTGGAAAAGAACAATCACCACGAGACTGAAATTAGAAGTCTCCACATAAGTAAATGAAGAGGAAAAGCTGACATTACTGTCATGAGTTATTTATACTTGCAGATCTCTTCTTGAGGCCTCAGTGAAAGTGGTCACATGCTCTGCAGAGTTCTGCACATAAATCATGGAATAACTTACAATAAATGTTTGTGCACAGGTAGGAAAAGTGTTGCTTTACCTGTTTCATGGTATCCCCAGACTTCTACGTTGACGTGGGTTTCTGCAAGTGCCTGATGTGTCCAGGTAAGAGTTAAGTTTCCATAAGTGTTGGGGGTACCGTAGTATTGCCATTTTGTCTCATTCACCAAAGTACATTTTTCTTCATCTGAAACCTTGCTGTGATGTACTGCATTACAGAGCAGAAAAAAAGGACTAATGACATTTTTGCTTTGCATAGTTCTGAAAAAGTGCTACTATGTTATTTAAGATTTAGCAGTATTTCCCCCGTGTATGTTTGACACAGTACAGGATGCACAAAATAAAGAGAGTAAGCTGAAGCTGAGCCCTTACACCACAGAGCAGTTATTTTCTAATAGAAGTAGTGACAAAAAGGTAACTGTTTTGGTCAACCTCATTTTTAAGCAGGACTTTTTATGAGTTAATGCTGCTGCTGCTACTGTATAGCAGCAGAACTCAATTGCCATAAAAGTTCATCTCTCAAAAGATGAATTAGCATGAGGACAGCAAGAATTACTTCTCTGAGGCCTGTTAAAGAAGAAGAAAAATGATCAAAAAGGGAAGGTTTATGTAAACTTGCATCCAACAAGGAAGAATGCAGGAAGAAGAGGAATGGTGTAAATTTAAATAAGTCACCTGATAGCCAAGTTCCAGAGTAGGGGAACGTCCTCCCATCATCTATAGAAACTTCAAAAGGGATGAAACCAGTCTCATAAAGCAACGGGGAGATGCAGTGGCCTTTTCCATCCTTAGCAGTATAGCCACTGGTTTTGATTTCCTGCTTGAACCTGTAGGTGTTGAAAACACTCTTCAGTGGCACCATTGAGAGAAGGAAAATTCTGAATGTCTCAGTTGTGTTTCATCAAGCAACCTTGTGTCATGAGCAGATCATTTAAAGTCCCATCTGTTCAAGTTCAAGTTTTGCTTGTAGCAGTGAATATAAACTGAAAAAATTTGTTTGTGCTTATTTCACCAGTGTAGAACCTGCTGTGCACTGCACAAATACACAGCAGTCTACAAGCCTTCAATTTACTATTTAATTACTGGGGGAGGGAGAAATTATAAATTAGCAGAATAATGATTGTATCACACAATAACTTGACTTAAAAGAAATGATCCTGTGTAGAAATACAGTCAAAATGTACCCTTGAGGGTGAGGTTCAGCAGAACTTTTGTGTGTTTCAGGACTCCAACAACTTTACAAAGTTTTCACTCCTGTACAGACTAGTCTTGTTTCATGGTAATTACCTATAGTTGGAAAGTGAGATTATATAAAATCATGGCCCACCTGCATGTTAGCACAGAAGAGGTATTAAAAGCTGTATTTTCAATCAAAAAGTCTTTGCCTCCCATCAGAGATCCTGAGTACGGAGAAATCTGAAGACAAAATTCTTTATAATCAGGGCAGCAATTCCCCAAGGACTGGCATGTCACCTGGCAAGAACAGGTACTAAGCAGCTCCCCACATTGGTGTGAGCAAGAGTCTTGAGCTCCTTGTTAAAGGAAATAAAAAACATATAGACAGGAATGTTATTGAACTTTTCTAGATGTTCTCTAAAACAAAGTATATCATCTAAAGGATTACTGTAAATCAATAAAGTATGCTGGTTATGCTATTTTAGGAATGTATTTAGGTGAAGGCTGCAATCACCTGCATGCTAGGGCTGCTCCATTTTGAATAGGAAAATACACTTATTTACCTCCAAGCCACTACATAATTTCATCACTTCCATGGGTAATTTTACATGCAAGAGTCAGATAAATCTCCAGAGCAGCCCTTCAGCAAGTGTCACTAATTATATTTATTTCTGAGAGTTAAGTCTTAAACATATCAGAATGGGGTTCCCTCACCATCAACCCTAGAAGGGAATCAATAAGAACAGAAGGTTAAAGCTCTTGGAAAGTTAATATCAGCAACAAGATGTGCTCCAATACAAGATTATTAAAAGCTACTGAAATGTCTTTCTTGTTGTAAAATTTGGAACCAATTATCAAAAAGTTATTAGGGGAGGGTTGCTTATTTGGGAGGACACAAATAAAAAGAAAGGTAGGGTTCAAGGTGAGTGGTGAAGAACAAGCATGGGGAAACGGGAAGAAGGGAGGTAGAAGTGCTTGTTCAATAAAGGGAGCTAGAAAGTTTTTCTGTCTTTAAATATATTTACTGCATTCTCCAGACTGTCTGTTTACTTACAGAGAAGATCCACCGACCTGCTGGAAATTACAGAGGAAGGAAATGAAAATGACACCATGCTGGTAAAAGCTGACTTGTGTACCTTTGCTTTAGCTTGTGCAAATGGGATCAGCAATTTCTTACTGAGGTGTGTATTCTGAAGTTCAGAAGTTAAAAAAGTTTCTAGATAAAAGCAGCAGAATCTTTGAAAATCACTCACCTGCATTCCGAAGAGCAGTAAGGGTGAAGAGAATGGAGAAAGAAACAATTATGCCACTGAATTTCATATTTTGTCCAGATGATTCAGGATGGCTGATTTCAGTAGTCTTTGTGCCAGTCTGAGAAAAGCCTTTTATAGAACGAGGTGTCCAGGAATAAACAAGATTCTCACTGTTCAAAGGTTTGTTGTAAACTACTGAAGCAAGACAAATGGAATGAAATGTTCCTTTTCAGAGGTCATGTCCAATTCAGGAGAAGATAGAGGGGGTAGGGGAGGTAGTCACTTGAACTCCTACACGTTATTTTAATAGTTAAGTTTTTCTGAAATGGAAGTAGATGTTTATCATTTTTAAAAACATTCCTGCTTCAAAGTTCAAGACCACAGAGTCATTGGCACTGGGTCTATGCTTTAATTTTACTGGAGGAATTAAAACCAGTTATCAGCTAGAAGAACGATAAAGAATATATGCTGACAGTACAGTTTTGCTTAGGAGATAATGAGGCATTGAAAAAGTGTGATTATTGCATGGTATGTGCCAGCATGAGGGCTGTAAATGAGAGAGGTAAAAAGATATTCTGAGGAAGGTATAATTGAGAATGGTGGCTTAATATTAGAGCTATGAAATGGGCTACAGAATGTCTCAGACAGAAGCACAGGGATATTCTGGAAAGGAAGTAGGACAGCACCGATGCACTAACAGCCAGTATCAGAACAGGGACATTACCATGGAGGGGTTTTAGGGGATACTGAAAGAAAGCAAAGCATATCCCATTGATCTGATATGTAAAATATCAGTACATAAGAACCTCCTTGGCCTTGATTATACCAAGGGCAGAGTAGAGTCTGGAATGATGACAGGGAGTCTGGGGAAGCAAGGCTATTCAGAACCAGATAACCATATCAGCAGTATCATGTAAGGCTGTGATAATTCTGGTACATATGTAGTGAAATGGGGACCAGGGGTCAAAAATAATCAAAGGCACATTGTTTAACTGAAAGGTATTCAGGTAAAGAAGAGAAAGTGCAATGGTAGCAGAAGGGACTTCAGGAGGTTTCTCTCATTCCCTGATGTCCCAAATATTCCAAGTGTCCCAGATGTCCCTGATATCCCAAATGTCCTAGATAATCCTGATGTCTTTGATGTCCCAGATGTCCCAAATGTCCCCAATGTCTCTGGAGAGAAATGAAGTTTAACCCTGCAACGTTTTGGGGTTTTAACAGCAAATTCATGCACATTCGTGTTCATAACAATAAGGTTCTTGCTTTTCACAAGCCACTTTTCTACATCACTTCAAGGCCATTGATCTCTTTCTATCTATGGTGGTGTCCAGAGGCTGGAGTTCCAGGTCACTGGGGGGCATTGGTGGGGGATTGAGTAGAACTAGGCAGGAACCAAGGGGTCTGGGTGGCACCAGGAATTAGTGGGATGCACTAGTGGTTGACTGGGAAGAGCTAGCTGTCACTGGGAGGTGACTGGGAGGCACTGGGACCTCCCCTAGGTGCATTGTGGACAGCTCAGGGGGCCACAGGGGGGTCCTGGTACCTGGGGAGGGTCCCCCAGCCATCGTCCCCCCCAGCCAGGCTGTGGGATGCACCCAAGTACCCCGTCCCACACGTGCTGGTTGGATCCTGGAGGGTCTTGCAGGGGACTATGGGGCTCTTGGTGGCTTGTAAGGAGTTTTGAGGGGCCCTGAGGGCATATTCTGCCTACCATTAAGTCAGCAGCCCTGGCAGAGCAGCTCTGATCCAAATGCATAGAGACAAGCACACCAAAAAGAAATCAGAGGCAGCCCTAAAAAAACCTGGTACACCTTGACACCTATTCTGAGTGATCCAAACCCTGACCTTAGATGAGCTGTGCTAAGGACCCCCCTGACTTCACCTGCTACAGCCGCCCCCAAAGGTGAGACCCCCAACCCTCCAAGGATTCCAAACACCCCAGCACCTCAAACCAGCCACAAATGCTACCTAACAACCCACAAAGCCATTTTAGAACCCCTAGGCTATTCCCAGCACCCCCTAAAATATTTCAACATCCCAAAACCAATCTGAGAACGACCAAAATTATCCCAGCAAACCCAAGCCCACCCAAACCCCTCCAAGTACCCCCCAAAACCTCCTTGGGCCCCTAAATCCCTCCCAGCAACCCTGCAAGAATATGACATCAGTTTGCAGCTGTGCCAGTTCAGTTAATGCCGAGGGAAAATCCAAGACTCCTCCAACAGAAGCACAGCTTTTCACTACGAAGCGGGTTAGTGAGATTTGGGGTTGTTGTTTTCAGTTTACTCTGTAAATTTTCACTCCTGACTTTCAGCCCCACTGGCCGAGCAGGAGGAGCAGCAGCGGCGCGAGGGCCGGAGCTGTTGGATGGGTCTGGGAGTCCAGGGTCCCATCCCGGTCCAGCCGTGCCCCGCAGCCCGTCGGGGGGATGTCCCTGCAGCAGAGCCCCGGGGAAGGGGCGAGACATCTCCTGGCGCTGCTGGAGCGCAGAACGGAGCGGAGCCTGAGCGGGAGGCGAGGCACCACCCTCGGACACGCTGCGCCTGTGCCGCGGGGACAGGAGCTGGGGAGGGGACTTCAACCCTTTGGGGGGCTGCCCTGCCTTTATTTTTGTAATAGAGCCCTCTTTTTTGGGAGGGGGGTACGTTTGCCAACGAAATTATTATAGCAATGAGCTGCTGCCCAGGGCAGTTTGACTCGTTCTGTGCCTTCTCGGGGGGGTAACAGGGAGGGGGCTGGAGCCTGGCGGGTGATGATGTCACTGGGGACACCCCGATGTCACTGGGAGAGCCGCGATGGGTGCAGGAGCAGGTGAGCTCCTGGGGGATGAACGGGGTCATGTGGGGTCCTCCTGGTGCCTATAAATTTTCGCGATTTTTAGCTTTTTGCAGATTTTAGAAGTAGCTGTAGTTAGCTCACCCTTTAGCACAGTAGTTTACACATTTACCCACCCCTATTACCCCATTTCATATCTAACTTTCTAAATTCCTTACCTTGTTTAGGTAGGCCTTCTTTCTGTTTAGGAACGTTTGCATCCAGGCCTCAACAACAAGATAAACCAACAAACAAAGCATCCCTCAAAACCCAGAACTTCGGAGGAGCTCCGAGGGCTGGACGTGCTGTGATGAAGACCAAGACGAAGGACTCTTAGAGACCCCTAACTCAATTTCCAGAGGGGCGTGCCGGGGGCAGAACCAGGGGCAGAACTGGGAGGATCTGGGGGGCGGATAGATCTAGGATTGGACGGACAAATACCTTAAACTGTGGAACGCCCTTGGACACGGGCACACGTCTGTATCTCCGGGGTGGCTGAAGGGCTTTTATTAAACCTGCTCTCTACTTTATCTCTACTAATAATTGCCTGCTGAGGGTACTTTTGGCTCCCGGCCGATCCTTTAAGGCAAGACTCCCAAAAAAGGAAGGTTGCAGCCCAAAATTTTCCATGGAAGGGCGTGCAAAACAATATTAAAACCTGCGAGGTTTCTCATCTTTATATATATATATTGAAAACTAATATTAACTCGCATGTAAATGTATTTCAAAATGTATTTCAAAATGCACATATAGTGCTATATCACACACAGGATCTCAGAGTTTAAGGAATTCCCACCGCGCGACACCCGCGGGCCGGGAGCGGCACCGCGCGGGCAAACAGCGCACGCGCACGGACGTTACTGGCGCCCAGCGTCACGTGATAAGTGTGGGCGTCCTAGCAACCAATGGCACGTGCGCAGTGGCTCCGCTGACTCTCCTGTGCCCCCTGCTGGTGAAAAAGCGGTACCACAAGGAAGAGCCCCGCGCATGCGCAGTGAGCGGGCGCGGCGCAGCAGGGACCGGCCGGTGCAAAGGTGAAGTGCCAGGAGCATAGTGGAGTTCCAAGGACAGGGGCACCCACACTGTGAAGGGCGTGTTTCAATACTGATGAATAAACTTGCCTGATCTGTATTTTTTCCCCTTCAGTAATGGGAGAGTTTTGCTAGGAACTCTGTATAAAAATATAAAATAAAATTACTTTTTAAATGAAAATCCTTTTTGTTTTCTGTGTGGTACTCAGATCTTTTTGAGGACTGGATGTGGCACTTAGTGCCATGGCCTAGTAACCGCAGCGGTAGTGGATCAAGGATTGGACTTGATGATCTCGGAGGTCCCTTCCAACCCAGCTGATTCCATGATTCTATTCTACCTTAAAATTTTCCCTGCGTTCAGCTCCGGAGCTGAGTGAGTCTGCATCAGTATGCTGGAGATGTGGGTTCGAATCCCACCCCCGACCACCGTGCTCTGCCCTGCAGGCGCCGCCTGGTGGACACGGCCGGTAGCGGCAGTAACGCCGTGGCCCCCAACTCACCCAGTGGCCAAGTGCTTATTTATTTTACTTTTGATTTTTTCCTTCTTATTTTATGGTCTATTTTAATATTTTTAATTTTTTTTTTCATTTTATTTCTTATCTTTATTTTTTACTTTATTTTTTCTTTTCTTTCCTCTTTTCTTTTCTATTTTTTTTTTTAATTTTTATTTTCGTTTTTATTTTTTAATTTTAGCTTTATTGTCTTTTTTTCCCGCTCAGGCTTTAGGCTGGTCACCCCTTGGGGACCTGGCGGGATCGACACAGATATTAACCAATAGAACGCTGAGGGAGGCGGTGCGAGCCACGCCTTGACCAGTGGGAGAGCGGTGTGAGCTTCATAGCAACCAATGGGGAGGCTGCTGTGCTTCTCTGCCCCCTCCCGCTCCTGCACGGCGGGGCTGCTGGTTCCCAGTTTTTATAAAATAAAAAGTAAAATTTAAGGTTTTGCTGGTCGAGGATGGGATTCGAATCTGTGTATTCAGAGCATGAGTTGCTCCCTAGGCGAGAAGCTCAACCACTCGGCCACAAGGGGGGGGCCGCCTCAGACGGCCTTTGAGAAGGCGGGAGTGAGCCCTGGAGGCCGCCATTTTCTTGTACGGTACATGCATAGGGGGGCGCCACGTTGCCCGGACCATGGCGGCCGCCATGTTATTGCCCGGCGATCCTGGGGGGCATGGGACAGGCACTTGGATTTCAGCGCGACCGCGGCCACTGGCACCGGGGAAAAAATAAAAATAAATAA